CTATTTTAAAATAAATTTAACTGATATCTGTATAAACTGCATTATAAGACTTCTATGATTTTCATCATTTATTGCGATATAGAATATCTGAAGTTTCAAAATTAATGCAATTACCACAGACAATCACATTTTTAAACACACCACATTTCATAACGTCATCCTTCATTCTCCCAACCCAACAGCTCTCACAACGTGGAACACGACGCGATTCCCTTAAACGGAAAGTTCTCGGCTCACCATTCAACGTTATTTCAAATGCACCTGTTGACATACACTGGTTCTCAATCATGTTGCTCAGGAAGAAGACCATCATGCAAGCATAAACCTAGAAGAGAACAGAGAGAATCCCCAATACTTCAGCCATGTGAGCCACAGCTTATTTTCCTCACTCTTAATAAGCACTGGAAGTTTACAAGTGTTTCTGAATTCCCCTCTTCAATCAAGTAATCTTTCCAATTGCACACACATCTTCCTTTCATCCTCCTCTTAAGAAGATTATGCACACTGCCTTCCCTAGACAGGTTACCAAAATAGCTCTGAAACCACCAAACTCGCAATCAAGCATCTCACTCCTTCCCTCCACAAATCAACGCGCATCTCAACAGCCAGTTTGCAAAGTACATGGCTACGCTGGCACCTGCAGGAGGACAAGGGAACAGGACTGTGCCTACGCGCTGCCTGTCATCCTCAGAGTAACACTTCCCATCAAAGAACCCCGGCCCAGACACAAACAGCAGAGCAAGCCAAAGCGCATTTGTTCACAAGATCTGTCAGCCCTCTAGCACTTCTTCAAGCTAATCATCTGGAGTTTTCCATGTGTATTGGTGCCTCAGGATGAAATGATGCAAGCTTCACCAACACAGCGTCTCCTTCCATCGCCAGCACCCTTCTGATTCCCTCCTCACACACAAGGGCACATTCCCACGGGTTACTGCAACACCAAAGCACCCAGCATGGGACATATATATAAATACATAAAGGTTAATAAACTTGTAAGTTGCTTTTGTTTAGTAGAATAAATCTGGAATAAGGTTACTATAAATCAGAATACAACAACATTAATCTGTTAGCATCATCAATAGATGCACGGGGACATCATCCCACAAGGCACAGGCTATCATGCCAGAGTATGTTCTGCAAAAACACCCACAGAATTTCAACTTGATTTTTCTAACCACCATCTAATTGCATGCCTAAGCTATTAAAAGCCTGATGAAAGCAACAACTGCAAAATAGTTGTGAGACAGCAGGAAAGGGAAGCTGTAATTTTAACACCACTGATACCAGCTTGAAACTCTTCTCTTGAGTCCTTGAAAATAAAAAATCCCTTATCATCCTTGTCAATAACAATGAGCTCAGCTGTCCCTCTGCAGCATCATCAGCTTGGAGAGAGAGATGCTGAGAATTAGTCGGGTCTGTCAAGAACATGAAGCACTACTATTAAGAGTAATTATGCTACTGTAAAATTCTCTAGTATATTTATAGAAGCCTAAAGATTCTGTTTTGGCTCCAGTGTATGAAAATTACACCAGTAAGAATTGTGAAGTACTCCCAAAGCACTCTCATGAAGTCATTCTAAAACTACTTTTCCAAAATAAAAGAAGAAATTATGCTGTTTACCTTATTTTCTTGGCCCCACTGCCAGATGCTTGGAGCTTGCATGCCAAAGAAAGCAAATGGATCCTTGCCAACGATTATTAAGCCTATTAATACTAGTTTGAAGACAGACAGGAAGGACGCTATGTGCCTATCAAAAGACAACACACAGAAGTGACTTAGAAGGTTCACAGTTACTCCACTACTATACAGCTATAATTCAGCTAACTAGAGGAATTTTGATAGTGTAAAATCAAGTGTTTCAGAGGAAATACAAAACTTTTCAAGTTTATCTATTGTCAAAAAAATAAAAGCAACACACATTAACAAAAGTACATATCCTCAGAAAGATACCACTCTCGTACACAATGTGTACAGATTTTTTTTTCCTAAGTAGACCCCAAGTAGAAATTTGCTTTCAACTTATACATGTCTAAACTGGATAATACGTTCAGTTTCTTGAAGAAGCTGTTCCCTGTTACAGAGACACATTTAATTGACATGCACTACTTCCTCGTAAAGCATTTCCAGCAGATGCAGTAAAATCCCCAGTTTTTTGTAAGAATTAAACCTACAGCCAGAACACACATTAACACTGAGTTGTTCAATCCTGTAGCATTCTTATTGCAATTATTACAGTAATTAGGTCAAGAAGCGGTTCAGAAGCCACCACAGTAACTATGGCATCACCTTCTAGCATGTACACAATGGTTTAAATAATAACACTGGTTTTGTTTTGTCTTTTTTGATATTTATTTGGGCTTCCCCCCTCCACTGTAGTTAAGGACATCCTGGTAGTCTCTCTGATGAGGTTAGCTCTCCCCTGACCTAGCTGTTAAAAACAAACAACTCTTCCCTCCTCTGCAACCTTAACCTGTTACAGGAATTTGTCACTATGAGCGTAAGGCTGAGCAACAAATGTCATGTCTGGATACATCATGAAAGAAAGCAGGAAAAATTCACTGTAAAAAAAAAAAAAGGTGAATTATATACTTTACTTTAGATTGGAACATGACAGGTCTCATCATACAGATATCCAGATGGTAGTATTAGCATGGAAAACTAAGGTGGCTATCTGGAAGAGAGAAGATAACCGAGCTTCTATGCAATCACAATGGAAAAAAACCCTTAAGTTTCCATTTTCAGTATTATTTAAGTGTTAATGCACATGTTCACCACTCACCATGCTGAGCCTACATATTGGAAAAAAGACAATTAGTACTGCCAGCCACTTGCTTACCTATATATAGGTTGAGGAAGGTAGTTCTCCCCTTCAATTCGGATGTCTGGGTACCGCTGGCTAATAACCCGCATGTACTCCTCAAACACCCGCCTGTAGCCTCAGGAGACACTAAAGGCAGACAGGGATTGTCACCAAAACTGGACTGCTGTATGTCAAAGTCGCTGCTAAACTGGCAACACCAGTACTCGCACTGTTCACAGTCTGTTAGGTTTAAAATAAAACTAAAATTCTTCATGCCAAAGAAGAAAACTGATTTGCAGCTAAGGTACACATCAAAAAGCCTGACAGCTGCCTAGGCACTTAGTTTTACACAAATTTGTTTTCATACGCTAACACAGACGCAATATTTTTGTAAAGTCCACTAAAGCAATGAATTATTTGTTTCCTCAGCAAAAAAGCTGTTGAATTAGCAATCAGCATAAGTATCACCTTGCTCTGCGTCAGAAAAAAAAAAAAAGAAAAAGTTTCACATTGCCATTTTAATTCCTCTCTAGTTAGTTAATTTTACATCTTCCTGGGACTGCCCACAGACAGGTAACATCAGTCCCAGTTATTTCTGTATAAGGATGATCAGATTAACTACAGAAGAGTTAAACATTAGAGAGCCGTACTTTGGCTCACATTTCCACCAGCTGCCTCTGCGGTAACTAAAATAAAAGCTATCGGGCCTCAGCTTACCGCAAAAGAAACGAAACCAAGCACATCCACCGCTTTTTGCGGTGCTTCACGGATCGGCACGGCACAGCCCGGGCCAGGCACCGCTCCGGGAGCCGCAGCGAACCTTCTCGTTGCCCCCGAGAGCCCTCCCGCCCCCCCGGCCCGGCCCGGCCCGGCCGCGCCCGGGGCTCCGCGGAAACACGGCGACAGACGCCGCCGGGGCCGGGTTCTTCCCCGCAAGCAAACCCCACGCACCAGAGCTGCCTCACCCCTTCCTGCCCCGGCTCGGCTTCGCTCCGAGCAGCCGAGAGCACCGGTAACGCTCCCAGAACGATGCCGAGAGCACCGGTAACGCTCCCAGAACGATGCCGAGAGCACCGGTAACGCTCCCAGAACGGTGCCGAGAGCATCCGCAACGCTCCCAGAACGAAGCTGAGGTGCCTGGTCTCCCCGCCTGCTACAGTCGTTAAAAAATAACCAACCAACCTTCGTTACAGCCTTTGCTAAAGTACTAATTCCTTCCAAACGCGACCCTGAATCAGCAGAACAGCCCATCTCACACTAAAAGGGCCTGAAAAGAGCGTTTTTACCGCGGGTCGCCATTTTTCCAGACGCCTCTCCTCAGGCGCCGCCCGGGGAGCGCCCGCGGCCCCGCTCCCGCCTCCCCCACGGCCGCCAGCCCCCCCCGCGGCCCCGGAGGGCTCCCTTCCGCGGCCGAGAGGAGGGAGCGGGGCCGGGGCCGGGGCCGGTGCGGGCGGGAGCGGGGGAGGCTCCGGCCCGCGCGGCGCCGCCATCTTGCCGGGCGCCCTCACCAGATCTGGAACTTGAGCAGCGGCCCGCCGGCGTAGGCCATGCGCAGCCTCTTGGCCGGCAGGCCGCCCGGCTCCGCCGCCCCGCCGCCCGCCGCCGCCGCCAGCAGCACCGGCAGAAGCAGCAGCAGCCCCGGCAGCCGCCGCCGCCCCGGCCCCGCCGCCCGCATCTCCTCCTCCTCCTCCTCCTCCTCCTCCTCCCCGCCGCCGCCGCCGCGCCAAGGTCACGCGAGCGCCGCCCGCGCCGCGCGCACGCGCCGACGGCCACGTGACGCCCGCCAGGCCCCGCCCCCCCCGGCCTGGGGCTGCGGCGCCGCGTCCCTGCCCGGGTCAGGGGCCGGTCCTTAAAACAGCCCAATTTTTAAATTAATTACATGAACAAGGCGGCGGCCCGTGGGCGCTGAGTGACAATAGGTGATCCCCGGGCAGGGGGGCGGGGCAGAAGGGGTCACCCCTTTCTCAGCATCCACCGCCACCCTCCCCTTCCCTGCTTAGCTCTTCTTTCCTGAGGGTCACAAAATAAAGGGACCGGGAAGATGGGAAGAATGGAAAATAAAAAACAGAGTAAAAAAACTGCCAGGGTCACCCCAGCAGCTGCAGCTTCATTTACCCTTTGCAGTCTATTTTTGATCATGGTGGCACGGCCCCCTTGGTTTTAAGGCTCTGCCCTTGTAACAGAACAACAGAAACACTTGTTATTATTAAATGCTCTTTATTTTTATCTACATCCCATTATTGCATAAAGATCACATCTTTTTAAATATAATAAAGCTATCAAAGGGGTAAACCTCATCACCTTCCCTCCTCACACCCAAACAAGGACAAGATAAACCAACAGGCTGCTTCTGGCTTTTTAGGCAATCTGCTTGAAGAACATAAGCACATTTCTGGTTTGAACAGCAGCAGAACTGGCTGATGGGATATTCATTACTGGTTTACTGTTTCACATGTGCACAAGTCTTTAGGAAAGCTTTTTAAAAGGCCAATGTGCAACAAATCTGTGGACTTTGACATCCTCGGTCATTTGCTGAAACATTTTATTTTGTTCCAAGTTAATACAAATTATATTTTCCATTAACTTTGTGTTAACACTGCACTGGATTTCCATGAAGTTTTAAAGACCCAGTTCTAGGTCTTCCAGTTCCTGAAGGAGAGCAGTTTCTTTCTGAATCTTCTCCAACTAGAACAAAAAAAAAAAAAAAAGCACAAGATGTCACAAATGTAGCTTATTATTAAATTAAACTTGAGTAAACTGCATACTACTTAACAGTACCTGATTTTTCTCTAGCTGTTTGCCAGCAGCTGCTTGTTCTTTCAGCTGCTCAATTGCCTTTAGTTTCTGTAAAATAAAATAAAACAAAAAAACACACTAAACACAAAAATACTGGTGAACCAAGAATAGAAAACACAGCCTTAGAAGTTCCTCCACATGCAACTGCCTGATTTACCAGGAGGCAGGTCTCAATATGGAAGGCACATTTCATTTAAGCATCTCCAGATGCTCAATCCAGAATTTCCCACCAATAAAAGATGTTTCTTTCAAGAACAAAACCTAGAGAACAGAAGTGCTTCTTAGTCTCTGAAACATAAACACCATGCATTATTCTCACCAGAGGGCTAGACCCAACTTCAGAAATTACGCCTCCCCTGTCACTACCCCTCCTTCACCACACATTTTCCTCAGAAAGCCTGGAATATTAATCCAAACAGAGACCATGAAAAGCAGGAGGCAGCCAGGATAAAAAAGCCTTGATGCATTATGCAGAAACAGGAAACATTCTCTAGCCTGAACCAAACAACTTTCATCCTGAAATTAATTAATCTGAGAATTTCCAAGATTGGCAGTAAACTTCATACCATTTAGAAGTTAGGGAAGAAACTGAAACCACAAAGTAATGGTTTCCTCCAAAAAAACAAGCAGCCCGCAGAGCTGCTTTCTAAGCACGACCACCTTCAAGCTGTGAGGACGGGGTGCCCGTGCAGCAGTGCTCCTAACGGGGGGCTGGAACACGCTGCCGTGACCCTGCCAGTGGCTTCTACGCTGCTGCTGCCCAGAGAGCTTTACAAGTCCTGGCAAGCGATGGCCTCTGCTGCTTTACAAGGTGGAAGAGCAAAGGAAGTTGGCTTACAAACTCAGGAAATTACCATCTACGTAAATGCCATCCTACTGAGCTCTGCTCCCCTTACAGACTAGATCTTACGGACCACCTCTAGGAGGAATATGCTGTTTGTTAGGGGGAAGAACAAATATTCTCTCACCTTTTTTAAATTCTTTATCTTCTTGTCAACTTCAGGATCTCCAGATGTAACGGCAGGTGCAGCACTCCGTGGTGCATTCTGTGATGCTGGGGACTGTGCAGATTCATGGTTCGCATCAGCTTTGGCCTCCTGTAGACAAACAAAACACACTGTCTACAAAATACCTTTGAGTATAAAGGGGCTAAAAAATGTCTTCAGTAATTTTTAAGGGATCCAGTTAATATTTCTTCTTTCACTAGTTTGCTGGTGTACTCCAAAATTTGTAAGTGACTTGCTTTGATGTATTGCATTACCTATTGCATTCCACAAGAAAAGGGTTATCTGTAACAACTCACGTGATGTTTGTTGAATTTCTGCTTTCTCAAGACACCAACCATACACAGCACAGGGAAACATCGTAAGGATGACATGACAAACACATACACAAATATTTTATCAAGTAGACTGGTGGGTCATTCTCACTGAAGTAAAAGAAAGGGCTCAAAACCAATGTAAGAAATTTTTAAAAAGCCTTATTTAAAGAAAGTATTGCTTCAGAAGTTTGTAGAAATTGGAAGACTAATGCCAAAAGCTGATCTTTATCTACCTAGCCAAAGAACAGCAAGCAAAGAGGTGACACAGAACAGGCTGTCTGGTCTGCCCTGATAACGTGCCTCAGCCCTGACCTGCCAGGGGACACATCACAGCAGCAAGTCCATTCTTACTTAACACTGAAAAAAACTGTGCAAATTGTCTGAAGGTGAAAAGTCAGAATTACTTGGGTTAACACTGACTTCAGCTAACATTCACAGCAACTAACCAAAGCTGTTGTTTTTAAGCCATCCTTTTGCACCTGCTTTAGTCCGATTAAAAAGCCCACCACCCTCCCCACAACTGAGCAGTGCAAGATGTGTGGAGGGTGCTCCGTGCAACTAACAGTCACTGCTCTGGGACTGATCAGTGTCGTTTGTGAAAAAACATTAACATTATCCTTGAAATAACCACTTCTCCAGTACCTGTTTAGCAGCTTTCTTTGCTTCATGCTTCCTTTGATTTTTGAGAGCTGTTTTAGAGAGTGGCTTATCACTGCTGACTGACTGTGGCTTCATATTCTGAGGTGGCTCGTCCTCATGCTGCAGGATGTGCAAAATTAACAGTTATGAAATCTGTATTCCATGTTGGCAAGTGTGTTGCTACAAAAAACTCAGCAGTGAACCCCAAAACCTACTTAAGACAACACCATATGCAAAAATGAACTGTAAAGGAAGAGGAAAAAGAAAATACGTGCCCTTTGTCTTTCAAGTTGCAGAAGACAGTGTGAAAAGGGTTTCAAACCCATCCATTCTCAAGTTTGCATGGGACTATCCTGTATGTCCTAAAGATTTCATGGTTTTCTGGTAAAATAACAAAATCATCGTGCTTTCTATTTCGGGGGGGGATAAAAGCAAAGAGCAATAAACCAGCACAAAATGACTGAAGCTTGGCTTTTGTTGACAGCTTTTAAACCCAAAGTCCTAGTAACAAGAAAGGAAAAATGGGTTGCAGGGAGGGGAGATGGGGTGAGGTTTCTTGAGAGGGGAGGGGTGTTGAAAAGGAGGGATAGTTTAGTCTTCTGTTTTTTTTAAGGTAACTCTTAATTGAGGAGCTGGTTGTTTTAACACATATGACAAGATTTCTTGCCCATATAAGTAAACAGAATTGTTTTATTTAACGCATCTTTTCTCTACTACCTCTGCTTGTTGATCATTTACAAAATCAGACATTAGCATGATTAATAGATTCCTCATAAGCCAAGCAGCAGCCTTTCCTTCAAAAACATAAGGCTCAAAATCAAAGCTCTCTAAGATGGAAACATCAACAGTGCAATTGTTAATTGTAATTAGTTGCTACTCAGCCTACTTTGAAAGCTTGCAGAAAAAAAACTAATTAGACAAGTAGGTCACTGTACTGAAATCTGTTTGAACTGCAGCTGACTTGCTAACAAATCTCTTTCTAGCAAGTAAACTTAACTAAAAAAAAAAAAAACAAAAAAACAAAAACAACAAAACCAAAAAACAAACAAAAAAAAAAAAGGCAAAACAAACAAACAAACCCCCCCCCCCCCCCCAAAACTACAACAACAACAAAAAAAAAAAAAGCAAACAAACAAACAAAAAAACAACAACCCAACAAACCTGTGGGGAAGACAGGCAACCATCTGTCTAGCTGGGTTCAGGCTGGTAAGTCAGGTCACCCAAATCAGAGGCTTCTATCTTAACTAGAGTATCCAAGCTCACCATAAACTAAATTTGCAGTTTATTGTTTCAGTGCATGTTGTAGAATGGTTTTGAAGTCTGCAAATGACTTTGTAAAAGGAGAGTATTTGGACCAAACAAGTTTCAGTGTTCCAACACACATTCTTGCAAACACTGAGCAAAGCATCGAAGAGGATTATCAAGAAAACCCGTCAAAAACCCCACACCACTACTGTCAGTCTGATTACTCTTCTAATGTCCCTCATTAAAAATACACACGTATTTGAGGCCAAGCTTCAAAGACAGCACGAGCAATGAAACAGAAGAGCCCTTCAGTTCACATATGAAACACATCCTTACCAGCTTGGAACTCGTTCCAGGTTTGTTCCTCAGGGCTGGTGGCCTGTAGGCTTGAGCAGGCTTTGGCTCAGCGCTGGGCAGCTCACTCGGAACCGCCTGGTACTTCACCGCTTTGGCAGGGAACACCCCATCCAGGAAGGGCTGCCAGGACACTTGCCACATTTCTTCGTTTGATGGAACTTCGTGGCTGTGTAACAGAGAGCCCGTGTAGTGCCAGATCTTGTAGCCGTTACTGACTCGGAGCCGGGGAGCACAGGTAGCTGTTACAATATGTTCCCCGTCAGGACACCAAGCAAAGTACGTGGAATCCGAGGCTACCGGTTTGGAAACGAGTTTGTAGTTTTTAACATCCCACACTTCCATCTGTCCCCTGAGATTTCCAAATCCTGCTAGCACTAGGATGTGTCCATGGGGGCTGTAGTAGGCAGCATTGCGAGGGCCGGTTCCAAAATCAAACACTGGGTCACATTTCAGATTAAAAACCGTTGCTTTGGCAGGCATAAAACCATACACAGCACAAAACTCGACAGAATTGGGGTTCCAAACGACATCATAAATAGGGCCATTTTTTGCTAAAAAGGAAAATAGGCAGCTGCTGTTAGGAGACTGTATCTTTTCAGTGCAAGCAAAAATAAAATCAATAGCAAATCTTAACTTCATGCTTTGCTGAAACGCTGATCTGATTATTGACAGTGAAAATGAATTATGCTAACAACAGAGGTAGAAACAACATTTTATCTTCTGATAATTTTAGTAAAGGTTTGCAGCAATAACTGCAGCCATTCCAAATCACCTCTGTAGGGTCAGCATCAGCACTTTAACAGTAAGTATAAAAAATTTTTTATTTTTTTTTTTTTTCCCCTCCTCGTTATTCAAGTATGATCTCTCAGGACCTTCTCAAACTGTCCCACTGGAAACCTGCAAAACCAGGATTTTTATAACACCTGGATACTAGTTCTTTTTTTAAATCTAAGAAATATCGCATAGCTCAGCTTTGCAGAGCTAAGAAATACTGATCTAAATTACCGTACTCACTGCATGGCATTTTACAGGACAGATTTTAAAGTGAGAGAGCACACAAAAAAATGGTTTTACACGTAATGATTAGAGCTTGATATTGTTAGAAGCTATTCTGGGGGTTAGAACATTAGGAGATATTGAAGAATGATGAATTAGTGATGGAAACTCATGTAAAAAGTACAGGGATAAATAAAAACCATAGGTCATTATAACTTTTCATAATCTGGATCTATCTACCCATATCTCAGATCAATGCCAAGTACATTATTGACAATTCTTAAATCCAGACATTGACCCAAAATATCAAACTGATTTAAATTGTTCATTCCTGTTACTCTAAAGCCTCGTCATCTTTAGAAACTAGGCTGTGCAATCACCCTGTCTGCGTGTTTTCCCCTTTAAAACTTTTTAGATGGCATTAACCAAAAGCAACTGCAGAGACAAAGGTCTGACAGGAACCTGCACGTTCCTGCAGGTCTCATGACAGTAGGCAGCTGGAGATGAGGGCAGCTTTACATGGGCTTCAACAGCCAAGGCAAAGGCTGCAGCATGAGCATCTATTAGTCAAAACCAAAAACCCCTCTACAAGTGCTAGTGTGAAAAAACCTTCAAAACTGGATTTCAAAAGTAACCAGAAGATACAAATCCACGGGAAGTGAGGCACCACTCACTCCAAGTGCCCACCACTTGCTTTTGTTGGAAAAAACAAGTTTTGCTATCAGTTTGGTTTTTATCTTGGAAAGGAATAGCTAAATTAAATGAAAATTAATGATAAAGTTCCTGTTAAATAAAGATGCATTGGAAATAAATAACTTCAAAAGGCAAAGAAGGTTTTAATAAGCATGTAATTAAACAATTAGTGTTCTCAATCTAACTGATGCCAGCGAGGTTCTAGATACTGAGTTATAGCCCTGATCGCTTTTCCTGGGTGAAGTTAGCAGCAAAGGGAAATGGGGCACAGTACTTGCTACCACCAGTTTCGCTACAGAAGGCAAACTGGAGATCTTCACCCAGTCAGCACTGGTACTGCAGAGAATATATTCACAACCTCTCTAGAGTCACCTAAGCATAGTCAGTCTACCTCACCCCACCCCCCGTGTTTTGAAATACTCACCACAAACTAGCCCTGCCTATAGTCCCAAACAAGACAGTGTTTCACAAACAGCAACAACTCAAGATAAACAATCCCACCCCAGGGAAATTAATGAATGGACTTCCAGTTCAAACAAGACACTGAAACGAAGCGTATCCACTTGCTTCTCCCCAACATGTCACTTCTGTGTCTCAGAGGACTTTCCGTTTCACAATACAAAAGAAAGGACTTCTGTTTTCCAATATACGTCAAAAAAATTGCTCTCACTCTGCCTCGACTCCTCGAGTAGCAGTCTCAATCACATGTCTCGGAGCACAGGTAGGACAATTGTCTGGTACCATACTTTCCTGCCCATTTTGGCTTCTCAGACATTCAAGGGGCTCCGTTGTCCAGGTGTTTCCTTAGTTAACATGCACAGTTCCCTTCCTGTGCACATGAACACCCTCCCAAGCAAATTATTTGCATCTATTAAGTGAAAGTGTGTGTTCTCTGCCTCTGACATTAAGACAAGAAGTATACCAAAGACAACAAGATAATGCAGTTATCAAAAGAAAAAAAAAAAAAAAATCACCTTACTCCAGATTTAAAAAAATTTCTGGTGAAGGATTTTGTTAAGATTACTTTATTTTTTCTTCTAAAGATTACTTCATTACACTAACAAAAAACCCCTCTCATATTAAACAAAAGCTGGTAAAACAGCAATTCCCACTATCAAGAGCTACAGTAAAATGAAAAAAAACGTCTGAGAGCTACTCACGCAATTGTACGACCGCACTTTCTCCGTTTGTTGCAATGTAGTGCAGAGTTTGCTCTCCGTAGTACGAAGCACCTGTTTTATCAACTTCTGTACTAGCTATTACTAGCACAGCAGTGGCTAATAGAAAAGACATACAGTTATTTCAATACAATCATTGCAAATTATATAAACTACTTCAAACTACCCTGAACAAAGAGAAATTAGTTTGATTATGAATTCTAGTTAGTTGCTTTCATAACAGTGCTGTTTTAATTCTCTTCTGAATTTATTTTTTCATAACTGTTAACTCAAACAGAATAATTATCTTCCTTTCTCAGATGAAGAGTGTAAGTCTATTAATTCACCACGCAGCCATAAAAAAAGAAATTCATCTGACTAAAGCAGAAACCAAGCATCCTGATCAGTCCTTGAATAAAATGTTTCATCAACAGCTTTTGTATGTACACCTATTTTATCAAAAACTGTGTGCCCACAGGTGGTTTCTGCATGTTTGTAATACCTTCCCTGTGTGCCAAACAAAGTGGGTTGAAGTAAAATCATTTTTACAATATTATTCTGAAACAGCTCATTGCTAAAAAACAGCAAAGGACACAGAGGACTGTGCAAGTCATCCCTATTGGAACAGGTCTGTGTATATACAATTTTACAGATTAAGAACAGTTTATACTCTGGTATAATCTTATGTTTACAGTCTAAATACGTTATCATCACAGAATGCAAAATTAAATCTGAATTTTCTATTAAACTGCAAAATTTACCAACCTGTAGAATATTCTCAATTACAATACACAAAATCACGGAAGTCAACACAGAAGAGTCATGAGCACTTCAGGGTATTCAGAACTGTAACCTTAGCCATTAATGCCAATGCAATGTTATCTTCAGCATTTAGCTGCAGATGCAAATTTAATGCAAAACCCACATAGTAAACAAAGTCATTAAATCCAAAACGGGTGGAATGTAAAAGTTTAAACATACAGCGGTTCTACCTTTTTTGTTCCATAGCATTGTCACCTTGTCAGCTTTAAAGAAACTTTTATTGGCTAGTGCAGACTGAGGGCCACCAAAGTTGGGATACTGATAGAGTCTAACGAATGAGGGTGCGCCTTTACTGCCCGGAACATACACAGCCACCTAAAACAAAGACACAAGATGTTATTGCAGGTGATGCTCTTGGTAGCACGGGGTCTATTCCCGACGAGTGCATTGTACTAAAATCACAGCAATTTTCTGAAGAAAACCAAGAAAAAATATTGGAAACAACATCAGAAGTACCTTGGTTGGCTGTGCTCCTGGCGATAACACAAAATCATTAACCTTTTGCAAATGCAGCTTGTTTGCAATAGTATCTGCAGAAAAAAAAAAAAAAAGTGGGATGATGTTACTGACAAACGACATTAGCCTGGATTACTTAACTCTGCCTTTTATGGGTCTGTGTCATGGATAATAAAGAACAGTGTATATAGCAACAAAGGATTCCTTTTATTAGGCAAACCACCAATCCTCCCCCATTTCAGCACACGTTGTTATTCTCAAAACCGACCGCCCCAGGCCTGCAGCCCAGTACTCCGTACCTGGGAGCTGAAGCAGCGGGAAGGTTCCAACCCCCGGGTGAGCGCGGCTCGCGTCCTGGGCCAGGGGCAGCGCTCCTCGCCCCCGGGCCCAGCGCGGAGGAGCAGGGACCACCACGGGCACAGGGAGCCGGGCGCCCTGGCCACGCGTGGGGCGCGGGGGACGCGCGTCCTTCACCGGGAGGCGACCCGCACCGAACCGCACCGGCCCGCGGCCCAGGCAGCCCGAGCCCCGCCGCAGCCCTGGCGGGCACTCCCCGCTGCCCCCGCTCGGCCTCCTCCGCCTCACCGGGGCCAACCCGCAGGAACCGCACCGCTCGCCGGCCGCGCTCTTAGCTCCCCCAGCAAGTCTTGCATCAGCTTTATACTGAAAACAAACAGCCGCCACAACCCAAGCCCACACGCCATTGCTCTACCCCCAGCAGTTCTAATTCATTTTTATCTTCCTGCTTCTTTCCTCCCCTCTCCCTTTTCAGTCTCTACTGACTCCAAATATTCTACCACCAGCAGTAAATTTCCCTGGAAAGAAATGCTCTCGCTTCACAACTTCATTTTTGTCATCCATATAAATTTTGTAATGAGCCATTGTTTAACAGCTCATCGACAGAATACACACAACCCAAAGCAGTAATCATAAATCACGTTCTCTGCTGACAATTTCCTGGCTCTCATTAAACGAAAAGAATACAGAATCAGGCCTCTTTAATTGAAAATTAGATGTATTTCATACTAGGTAAGTCACTGAAACAGTAAACAAGAAAGTATAAACATCATTAAGATATAATGATTCTGAATTCCAAATTCAAATAGAATGTAGACTATATTTAAAATAAAAAACAAGCAAAAGAAGAAATGAGGAAAAAATTTGAAAAAAAAAAAAAAAATCACCCAAAAGAAGATGCATATATAAAATGAAATGAAACGTATAGAAAAACTTGCGTACTAAAGTTGTTGTTTTCAAAGAAGTGTACTTCATTGTTTACATTCCTGGCACAAATGCTTTCATCATCTGCCCAGCAAGGACACCTACATTTAAAGAAAAAAATTAGAAACACTAAATGATGCTCATCTTTAGCAGTCTAGGAATTTTTTTCCTCCATTTTTAAAGCCATGGAAAAGTTCAAACATGATACACGTTTCAAATGGACAAATGACATCTGCATAGTAAAAAAATGTACAACTGGACTTAGTTATTGTCTCCCCAGCTTTCTCTGTGGTGCAAAATGATAGTGAATTTATACTAAGAAAAACAATTATAACTACATACAAAGATACTTACAAGCACAGATACTTGCTTTCAGCTAGTAGCAGGCGGTATTTTGAAAGCCAACACCACACTAAAAGCTCTATTTACCTGCATCAGATTTTGGAAACCACATTTCTTGGCAAACAATTAGCATCTGGAAATGTTATTTACCAGTTCTGCATCTTTTTCTGGATGAAAGATTTTAAACATTTTCCAGTTTTCACATCATGAAGTTGTAGGTTGGGCACCCCCGCCGTGCCATCTTTAGCAGCTGCAACACAAACATGGATTACAGTAGGGGTCTCTGGGGATTATATCTGCTTCACTGTGATGACATTCCACCTCACGACTCTACAAGCAACCAAACAGGCATAAACTTCTTCCTACCCCCCGAGGGACTAAACCCGAGACTGCCAACTGCTTTACCTATAAACACAGGTCTTTCTGCGGTCTTTCAGCCTGCAGAAAGAACTCAGGGTTCGAAGTGCAGGGTTCCTACTCCCCGTTACAAGACTAGGACCACCAACACCAGCATGGCTTTTTTAACGAGTGTTTTTTCATCAAGATCAAAAGCTACCCTCTTGGCAAGCAACGAAGGTATGCTCTCCCCTCCTACATTTTGTCCTCAACAGAATGCAATGCATTTTGTCCATCACACTGCAGTCACAGCTCTATCTGCAAGCCACACAAAATGGTTCTGCGGGTTTTAAACTCTTTCTGTACCCTTCTACTCACTCTGGATACTACAGCCTGCCAATTTCTACCAACGATTCAGAACAGACCTCTAACAGTTCTCCGACAGTCCACAGCTGGCATCAGTCCCATCACTTGTGCTGCCTCGTCTTACCCTACAACCCCTCCCAGAGACCTTCTCACACGCTCAGCCTATGGCCAGCTCTTTCTGTCCAAGGAAGCACTTGCACCGTCTGCTTCAGACACACAACTCAGACTCATCTATCTACACCTGGAACATAAACTCCACAGAGAGGCAGAGGAGAGAATAAAGCCCCCCGAACAACCGAGAACATGCAAGTCAGCTACACCCAGTGGAGGACAGGACTACTCTGAGACAGCTTACAATCTTCCTTGTCTATACATGAATGTAAACTGCTTGAACAGCACATTATTCATACACAGTTTTTGCACTAAGATCAGTCAGCAATTTTTAGAAACATGTGATTTACTTAATAGAGTAATTGTTAGTATGTGCACTCTGATTTAGTGTTTGTAAGAATGGTCGACACCAGATGCTTTCAGAAGATGCCATCCCTCCCTCCTCCGCTATATACTTGATTACCCATATAATTTTCTGTACACTTTCTATACTGCTCATTTAGCCAATATGGAACAATGGCAAATCAGGTAATAGGAAGCCTGCAAACCGAATTAAAATATGCAGTTACCCTGTGCACTTTCACAGCTGGTAAAATACTCACTTGTATAGGCCTGCCATGTTGCCAGAACATTATTCTTTGGCGAGAATTCAAGGCAAACTGCCTTTGGAAGATCAAAGGAACGCAGTAACCCAGCACTGGTGACATTCACAACATTTACTCTGGAACCAAAAGATGTTATTTCAGTAAAGCATGCTTAGAATAGTTAATTAATAGCCAAGGTAACTTTTAATATATTTTACTCTTCTAGATCTGTCCCAAATTTGGCCAATGTAACAAAATTAGAAGAGCTATTTTTCCCTCCTGCTTTTACTAAATTTTTGCAAGAACACAATTTAAAACCGGATACCCAAGCATAACAGAAACTAAGCGAGAGCACTGGTCAGAAAATATCTCATATTCTTATCTGCGACATTTAAACTCTGAACCAGAGACAAGATATATTCTACCCATAGAGTCCATCCACACTTCCACATGCTAAAGTTGAGCAATGGCCAAAAGAAAGGTTCTAACTGAATTAAACCACATATTTATCCCAAGCATTTTTAAACGTCTTCTATGCATAAGGATACAACATTTAAGATTTGGGCTTTTTGAGGTTTGGGAATGCGGGGAGACATGGACCATAAAAAGCAAAGGTCAGGCAGCTGAACAAACAAGGTCAAGCGGCACCTCTGAACACTGTGTATTAAAGATCTGCCACGTACGGAACCCAAGGAACGGAGGAGATCAAGTCAAGAAGTGTCCGAGCCACTGTGGTTCTCAGAAGCTGCATTAGGAGCCTGTTCCTCACCATCTCGCTAACTGCTCCCCCTCAAAAGTGAAGGAAGGTAGACAGCCCCCAAAACAGAGGCATAGCAGGACTGGAAAGATCTGCCATTTGGAATACGCTCATTTAAAGTATAGGTACCTGAATATACATCCTGGCTGTTTGAAAAACATGTTACCCCACAAACATTTTCTGGAAACGGACCTTTCCGATTGATAAAAATTAAGTTTTTAATGAAAAACTAAGAGTCTGGGTATCTTTGAGAACCAGAAACAACCATGAAAGTGATGAATCCTACATCTAAGTTATCTATTTTAAAAGAAATGGTTAAATGGAATTACTAAATACTTTTGCAGATTGCTTTTTTTGACCTGTTATAAGAATACTGCCATTTCAGCAGAAGCCTTATCACCTCCTTACAGCAGCAACCCCATTATGCACTCTTATGTAAAGTATGATCTCTGTAATGCACCTGGTCTACAAAAACCAGAAACCTTGTGATGTTTGTACATAAGGTGCATAGACTTTTAATTTTCTGTGAACTTTACTAACACATTAATCACAGAGAAACAGGTACTGTCATACTGGGAACTATGAACAAAAACCCAAATAAAGCATAACCAGATTCCAGGGGAACGGGTACATTATATATACAAGAAAAACAGTAACTATATCATCTGATATTCAGGAAGCAAAGCCATTACTGCAAATAATGCAAAAACAAACTGCATTTAAAGTGTGTATGCAAACATTTGTGTTCATAGCGATAGCCTTTACACAGACAGGAGTAAGTGGGGCGTAACTGATTATTTAATACAAACTAAACGATTAATGTCATGAAATGCACCAACTTTTCTCCGTTGCACCAGGCAAAGAGGGAACCATCCTTGCTAAAAGCAACAGTTTTGCAGTTTTTTCCAGAGTCCCTAAAGAAGTAAGAAATACACATTAGTATTCAAACACGCTGCATAAGTTAAAGTATTTTTAACAAAAGTAAAAAGCAACATGCCAATTTTCCTGCTGTGCTCCTGAGTAGCACTTTGTAACAGTGCAACCTACTCTGCAATTGTTCAGTGATTATTACCTGGGCAATGAGAAGGCAGGCAAGTGTAAGCCTTCAAAACCATCAATTTTCTGAACTACTGACAGAAAGAAAAAAATTCACTTAAATTTATACACTTTTCAACTCTAGAGTCTACCTTTACTTTTTAGAAAATTATTTATTTTGGGGAAACGATCAGAAACAGCAATAATAACAGTACCTTTGAAACGCTGTGCTCTCTGTGAAACTAGGTGGCCCATTCACCATATAAAGCCCTTCAGATCCTCTCACTGGAAGAATAAACAAACAACTTCTCATTCCAAATCCAGAACGTCTTCCAAAGCAAAAGCTTTACCTAATTTGTGAGCCTTGAGACCTGCACGCGCCTTTCCCCTGCTTGCATTTTAAACGAGGGGGGCTGTAAAGGAAATTCAGAACGCAACGTGTTGGCTTCGTCCCAGGCAGCGGCAGGACGGACAGGCGGGGCGGCGGCAGCGGAGGGGCAGAGCGGGGCTGAGCCATGGGCCCCAGCAGCCCCGACACCCAGCGCCAGGGCAGCGGCCTGCCGGACACCCCTGCAGACACAGCAGCCCCCAGCCAGCACGGCGCCGGAGCCGAGGGCTCGGCCCGCCCGCACCCACAGCCACGCCAGCCCGCTTCGCCCGGGAACCCGCATGTCCCTCTGCCGTGGGGCCCCGGTGCCAGGGCAGAAGCAGGGCTCCGCGCAGGGCTGGACCAGGCACCCCTGGAGCCCCCATCCCTCCCCTGTGACCCCGCGCCCGGCCGGGAGGTGAGCATCCCCCAGGATGCCTCTCCGGGCAGCCTGCGCCTGTGTTCAGCCTCGCAGTGAAACAGTTTTTCCTCGGTTTGAGCGCAGTTTCCTGTATTTTAGCCTGAGCCTGTTGCCTCACTGGATACCACACAAGAGCCTGGCTTCCTCTCGCAGGATGGCCTCACAGAGCTGCCCCTGCAGCTGTGGGACAACACCTCGTCCTAACGCGGCCGATGGTCCTCAGCGCTCAACCCTGCTGCCCGAGGCACCTTCACAAAGCCTAACGTGCAGAAGCTGAAAATTCCCTGTCACTGCAAGAGCCACACAAGAGTCCTGCACAGTGGGGCTGAAAAGGGCTGCCTGGATACTCCCCAACGCCAGGATTAGCCGGCTAAACACAGGAAGAGCACTGCCAAAGAAAGATTATGTTGGACTGATTTTTTTGCTGACATGAGGCAGGATTCGCCCCACTGTTAGTTTCAACAGCAAAGTTCAACTTTGAAAACGGAAGGCATGAAAGAAATATCAATATAAAACATGGTTTAAATCTCATTCTTTTCAGAGACATTGCCATGCTTATGGTAATGGACAACATGAAATAAAGGCAGATTCATGCAAAATCATGCAGTCAGATTTGCTATATAACGAATATAAAACCACCTTCACAATTTTTGCAATTGCAAGTGTATCAGAATTCAAAGTCAAAATGGGTGATCGTTACACAGGCATTAGCTGTTTCCTGCAGTTTCTCGTGACGCCAAAGACACCTGCTGAGGCGACAGGATTTTACTGACAAACAGGAGTCAGGGAAGCGAGATCTGCCCCAGCTGAAGCTGCAGGTGCTGCAGCTGTGTCACACCGAGGCGGCGGCAGGGCCGGGGGTGCACGGGAGGCCGGGCAGCGGAACGGCAGCACGGCTGCACACGCGACAGTTTAACGTCTGCCACCCAGGCGCCCCCACGCTGCCCTTCAGCTGCCAGGTGCCCGCCCTTCACCCCTCCCGCAGCACTTGGGACATTAACAGATGGAAAACGTTTTAAGCAACAGCTTATCAGTTTGGAGAAAGTCCTATTTCGGTAGATTTGGAATCCCCACTTGCTCTGCAGCCCTGCGCATCAGTGCGGGCACACCATGCCCAGCATGTCTCTAACTGGCTTCGCACCCTGGCCTTGGGCGTATTCTCCAGGTCTCCCAAGAAAAATTAAGATCCAAATTTACAAGAGATTACAGACAGCAGCACACTGTCCAAAATCCACCCTGACCAACCGCGGCCCCCAATACGCCCGAGTGAGGATGAGTATGTTGGCATGTAAAGCTTAGTAACGCAGGAAAGGAAAAACACTCGTGTCCGTTACGGCAAGGACAACTTAAAAAGTCGAAGCGAGAGGAAAACGAAGAACTATTAACGGAAACTCCGCACGGCGCGGCACCGATGGCGTGGCCCCTCCGCGCGGTTCGTGAGGCCGCTCCGGGACGGTCCCCGCGGTGCCACCACCCGCTCCTGCCCCGGGCCGGGCCCGCCCCGCGCTCGCCCCTGTCCTGCAGCACAGCGCCCCCCGAGAGAATTAACCAGGAAAAGGGACGCGCAAGATTTAAAAACGCAATTTTGCGTCCCCGAGAACCGCGGGGGGGGGGCGGTTCGGGCGGGGAGAAGCAGCCGGCACCCGCGGGGGAAGGCCCGGCCGCCGGCCCACCAGCGTCCCGGGCCGAGGGCTGAGCCGCCCGCGGGGCACGGGCGCGGGACGGGGCCCTGCGGAGGGCGGCGGCGGGTGCCGGCGGGTACCGGGGGGGCGGCGGGCGCAGCCAGCCCCGGTCCCCGCCGCCCGTCGCGACGCACCTGCCAGCAGCGGCGTGGGGGGCGCCATCTTGGCGCGGCCGGTCCCCGGCTCCGGCTTCCGCTTCCGGGTGAGCGGCGGCGCGGCCGCCCCGGAGCCGTCCACGTCGCGCGGGGGGCGGTGGCGGCACGTGACGCGGGGGCGCCCGCGCGCGGGTTGGCGGCGGGGCGGCGGCCCCGCCCCCCCTGCCCCGCCCCGCGCGCGCTTCCGGCGGGCGGCGCCGCGCGGTGCTGACGCTGGCAGCGGGCGGCGCGCGCGGCGCGGAGCGGAGCCGGAGCCGGAGCGGAGCGGCGGGGCCGGGTCCGGCCGGCGGGTCCCACCATGGTGGCCAAGCAGCGCATCCGCATGGCCAACGAGAAGCACAGCAAGAACATCACGCAGCGCGGGAACGTCGCCAAGACCTCGGTGGGCGGCGGGGGGCGGCGGCGGGGGCGGGAGCGGGAGCGGGGGCGGGGGCGGGGCGGGGGGGTGACGGCCGCGCTGTGCCCGCAGAGGACGGCCCCGGAGGAAAAGGCGTCGGTCGGGCCCTGGCTGCTGGCGCTGTTCATCTTCGTGGTTTGCGGATCAGGTAAGCCGGGCGGAGCGGGCGCGGGCGGGCGGGCCGCGGTGGCGGCGGGCCCCGGCCCCCCCTTCCCGGGGGGGGGGCCCGCTGCGGCCTGCCCGCCTCCCCGGCGAGCGCTCCCCTCCCCTGCTCTCTTGCAGCCATCTTCCAGATCATCCAGAGCATCCGGATGGGCATGTGAGGCGCCGGCCGGCGGGCCAGGCCCCCCCAGCGCTGCCATGAACTGTCCCCCCCGGCCGGCGCCCCGTCACCCCGGCTCGTCGCAGCGGAGCCGCGCGCGGCGGCGGCCGGATCGCATTCCAGGTCCCTTCACGAGTCATTCCGAGTTTTCTAGCCCGTGCCACAGTGCCTTGAACAGCACCACATGTATAAAGCAATAAAGTTATATTGTTGATCTACAATCGTGGACCTACTTATTCAGTGCAGTACACAGTCCTGTTTCTCTGTAGATATGTCCAACTGTATGCCATGTAGATACGTAGGAATCGACGCCTGTTGTAAGCACCCCGTCTTTGAGATCTGTTTAAGTCTCTGTATAGCTGGAAATGGTTTTATTTAAAGTCGGAAGCCGGGATGTTTATAGTAGCTGGCGTCCGAATTCGGAGCATGTTGGCGATGAGGCAGCCAGGCCGTGCAGCGCCCTGCAGCTCGCCCGAGCGCAGCGTCCTCTCTGTGCGCGTAGAGTAGTCTCACTGCAGCATGTGGCAGTGCCTCAGCGCTCAAACGCTTATCGCGACGGGAAGCTTTATCCTAGACCTCTTGTCCTAATAAATACGGAATGCTTGTTTGTATAGAGTTTGTGGGTGTTACTTAACTAGAAACCAGCGTGGCCGAGCAGCAACTGTTTCTGACATAACCCGGTGCTGAAGTTTCCCAGGCTGCTGGGTGGCTCCGGCCAGGGCTGCCGGCTCGCCGAGCCTCTCCGGGCTGCGGGCCGAGACTGTGCTGTAAATACTTCTTCAGCGACTTTCAACAAGCGGTGATGGATAGTTTTAAATTTTACGATGTTGTACGGGAATGTTTCGTGCGGGTACAGGGACCCTGCCCCTCCTGCCCACAGTTCTGCTTTTATGTGCAGCATCTGCAGAGTGTGGTATGTCTTGCAATATATATTTAATCCTATTTAAGGTAAATCCTGCTTTCGACTCGATTTCAGCTAACGATGGATCCAGTACTTAACCGCTACCTTACGGATGATCGCAGTTCCTTCTCGGTGATGCCGAAGAAAAAAAGAAAAAAAAAAAGCCCTCCTCGCATCTGTAGAAGGCTGTAACCTGAGATCACAGTGGAAAATGCTGCTATTGATCATATTTTATTGCGCGTTGGCCTCTTGCTGTCTGTTGTGGTAACAAAGGCAGTCTGAAATTGGTCTGCTGTTGTATGCTGTTGCTAAAGGAGGATTGTCTTTTTTCAGGTTTCTTAGCAGAAGCCAAATTTAAAGTCTGGTTAAGTTAGAATTAATAGAAAAAAAAATCTGTAGAGATTAATTAAATGCCTGTTAGCTGTGAAGGAGCAGATCTTTTGTATGAGTTGTCATATTTCCATATGAAATCACGGGGACTGGTGTAAACCAGGGCGGCCAAGAGCATGCCCCAGAGCCGAGCTGTGCAAGGTCACGTACGTTCCTTGTTCTTGGATGCTCGTATTTTGTAAGTGGTGGTGGGGGGAAGTATGTATAATCGCTGATTTTAAATAAAGTTCTTTTCAAAAGCGAGTTGTGTCCATTTTGAGGTTGGCAAAGTGGTGCCTTACTGGGTGTTGGAACTAGGCCGCTTCACCCCAAGCGCAGCTGAATTTGCCTCTTCCCCGCGAGGAGCCACAGGCCCCCCGGCTTTGGCTGCTCGGGGGTCTGGGCTGTGCCCTGGTGCTGCCCCCCTCCTGTCCCGTCCCCACGGGGCTCGGCAGGTGTCTGGTCTCTGCTCCCTGGGGATGCAGCAGAGGCCGGGGGGGGGGTGGTGTCTGGCCGGTTCCTGTTTCTACGGGAACACAGCCGTGACGGTGCTCACGAGCAGCTGGGGTGACCTGAATGTTCACAGGGGGCTTTACTGAATTTTGAAGGACAAGTCTGTAGAAGACTTGCTTTGGTGCAAAGACAGAACGCACCGATGCTTGCTGTGCAGTAGACCAGCGTGCTCGTTCCACTGCCAGCACCGCTGGGTTCAGACCAGAAGCACATTGTTAGTCTCGTGTAAATAAAGGGATGTGCAGCAGCTGCTTTGGTCGTAATTGCAGCGTGAACAGCAATCTTGTCTGACAGACCAGGGGCCAGCGATGGCCACTGTCAGATAATTGCAGTTTGGTGTAGTGCGCCACTTGAAAAGTGCTACTGGATTGAAACCAAAGTGCTCTGGGGGTGCTCTACATTGAAAAGTGGTGAAAGAGTAGTTGCAGCCAAAACCGGGCAATTACACAAGGGGTGAGAAGGATCTGGAGCTCACAGCTGCTTTTGCAATGAGCTGACAAAAGGAGAGCGAGGTCATTCTGCAGGTGAGGTGTATTAAATATCAGCAAAACGCAGTTAGAGGAGGGATGGGGCAAAGTGCTCTAGGAGCTGCCTGATGAGGAGCGTCTGCTTCATCCGTGCCCGGCAGCCAAAGCCCCCGGGGGGGTCTCTGCTTCCAGGGCTGTTCCCAAAGTCCCGACAACAAGGGACTCTGCCCCGGCAGCCAGGGCACTAACAGGCAGCTTAGTCATTTACTGGGGCAGGGAGAGGGAGGCAAGGAGAGGCGGTCAGCAGGGGGTTGCTGAGATCTGAGGCGTGCAGAGTTTATCTTCAGAAACTGTCTTGAGTGGTGCGCGCTCTAAGGTGACAGATGAGGGATGCCGGACATCCTAGGTTATTCCTTCCAGGCAATGGGTCTTTGTTTTATGATAACTTTGCATCCCACTGGAAAAGTGACTTGATTTGGGCACGTGAAACTACTACAGAATTTCCTTTGACCAGTAGATTCCATGTGCTTAGAAAGATCCAACTCTGTGACACGACACAACTTGAAAAGACAAAAAAAAAAAAAAGAGAATAACCCCCTGCTTTGTTTCTTGGCTCCTGTGAGTGGCAGACGCTCTTTGGTGGCCGTGTAGCAAGGAAGAACAGGCCATCAGTGGAGGATGCTCAGGTTAGGAAACACTCGAACAAACTGGGTATACACAATTCCACGGGACCCAGCAGGATGCACCCGTGGGAGAGATTCCTGAGGACTGGAAGAAAGCAAATGCTACACCTGTTTTTGTGAAGGGCGAGGAGGAGGATCTGGGGAGCTGTAGGCTGGTCTGCCTCACCTCATCACGCCCAGATGATGGAGCAAAGCCTCGTGGAAACCACTTCCAGGTACACAAGAAGCTGATCGGAAGCAGCCAGGGATTCACGAACAGGAAAAAGGGCTCGATTAACCTGCCAGCCCTCTGTGAGGAGATGACTGGCTAGCAGTGGATCCTGCTTAACTTCACTGCGGCACGGCTTTCGGCGCAGCCTCGCAGGCAAGCTGGGGAAGGAGGGGCTGGGTAAGCGGGCGGTGAGGACGGGGCCCGGCTGCTGCCGGCAGCGTGCAATCCCACCGGAGGCCAGTCACTGGTGGAAGCAGCTCCGCAGGGAAGGGCCTGGGGTTGGAAGGAGTATCACCTGCCGGTCAAGGCCTCCTTCCCCTCTGCTCAGCACCCCTGAGCACATCGGGAGCGCTGCGCTCGCTGCTGCTGGGCTCCTGGTACAACACGGGTGGGGAGGCACTGGAGCCCCAGCACAGGGCTGCAAAGTCCATCTGGCGCACTGCAGGGCTGAGAGCCTGGGGGAGAGGAGGCTCGGGGGGCTCTGAGAAGTGACGGGACAAGCAGCAACCGGCACATGCTGAAATATGAGAAATCCCATTTAAACACGGAGAGAGAACCTTCTTTTACCATGAGGGTGATCGGGCCCTGGAAGAGGTTGCCGAGGGGAAGGTTGGAGCCTCCATCCACCCCCCGGCTGGGCAGAGGGCCCCGGGCAGCCTGCGGTGCCGGAGCTCCGGCTGCGGCTCTCAAGTACAAAGCCGCAAAGCACCAGGCTTGTTTCTTTACAAAGAACCTGGGAGCACAATACCCGGATTTATATCCCCTCTGATGAGACTGCAACTTCTCATTTCCATGGACTGACAGAGCAGCTTTTCAATGCCACGGCCTGCAGCCCTGGCAAAGTAACACGGTACCCCAGTTCACCGAAACAGCCAGGTTCTTCACTAGAGCTGAACTCGCCGTCCCCTTGAGGTTATTAACCATGCACAACTCACTTTTATCTCAAATCCTCTTTTTTGTTTTGTTTTTTTTTTTTTTTTTTTTTGCTGTGAACCCTTCTCAAGACCAGCTGCAAGACTGCACCTCAATTAACGCACACCAGGATCCCTATGTTTTGCTTCGCAAGGCGAGCTGTGCCCCTTCCCCTGCCCGGCCTTCCCCGGGCCGCCACAGGCCGAACCGCAGCTGCAGCCGCCGCAGCACCGCGACTGCGGCCGCGGCTCCGGCATGTCACAGCCCCCCCGCACCCGCTGCACCCGCGCCGCAAGGTTCCCTTCACCTCAGCGCGGCGCAGACACAGGAATTATCGGCCCGCTGCCGGCATGAAAAACGTCCAGCGATAAAACCGACCTTATGAGCCGACACCACCATGTGCACCCACTCGGCCGTAAACCTACGGGCTGCACAGAGCTCACCTGACGGCATCAGGCGTCACACATCGCCTTAAACCCGCCCCGAAGGAACCGATTAATTTACAGAAAGGGAGCAAATTCCCCCTTCAGCAACAATAATTGCTTGGAGGCCTGAAGGCTGTTCCTCGGGGAGCCTAAAGGGGTCGGTTAGCAGGGATTGCGGGGCGGGCCAGCGCAGGCCCGGCCCGAGGAGCGAGGCCCGTGTCCGCCGGCCCCGGGGAACGGACGGAGCGGCCCCGGGACCCCGCGGGAGGGCGCCGGCCCCGGCTCCCAGGGGCCGCGGCCCCGGGGAGGAGCCGCGCGGGGCCTCCCGCCGAGCCCGGGCCTCCGCCCGCCCCGCTGCGCCGTCCCGTGGCCGGCGGCCGCCATGGCCGGGCGGCTCCGCGGCCCAGCCCGCCCCAGGGCCCGGCCCAGGGCCCGGCCCGGGATCCCACCGCCCGGCCCGGGATCCCACCGCCCGGCCCGGGATCCCACCGCCCGGCCCGGGATCCCACCGCCCGGCCCGGCCCCGCCAGCTCCGGAGGCCGCCACCGCCCCCCCCCCGCCGGGTCGTTGGCCCCGGCCAGGCCGGGCCCGCTCGGAAGCCTCGTCCTTTCCCCGGCACCGGCCAGGGCCGGGAGCCGCCGCCCCCAGGGAGGAACTCCTCCGCGTCTCAGAAAGCAGCCGGCTGGCCTCACACTCGGCCTTAATCCCCGCTCCTCGCAGCGTCGCTTTCTGCTCTATCCCCTCCCTGAGCAGAGGCCTGCGGCCCCCCCCCCCCCCGCCCCGGCTCTCATCAGGGTCTGGGGCTGAGCCATCCCCGCGCAGCCCCGGGGAAACAGACACTAAATCCTTCCCTCGGCCGGTGCGGGACCTGCGGGCAAACGCCAACAGCGCTTTGGGCTGGAGCTGCGGCTGTGCCCGCCGAGGGTGCGGGGACACTGCTCTCCCCCTCGCCCGAGTCCGGCTCCGGCAGCTGAACACGAGTGGGCGCAGAGGCACCGGGTCGGCCACGCCACAGCCGGGCCCCGGGAAGGAGCTGGGACTTCTCCAGCACTCTTCAGAAAGGAACGGGACAACTCACAGTCCTTTAACCTGAACGCAGACTGTCCGCAAAGAGAACAGCACTTGCTAATCACAAAAACGGCATATCGCACGGTACGAGCAGAAATAAGCGCCCTTGTGTGCTCATGGCGAGGGGGAATATCAAGGAAACATGGCTGTGCTAGCTCTCGGAACTCAGAATTGCCCCGTCCCACACCTCAGTGACTCACCTTCCTGGGGGATAACAGAAGTGCAATGAAACCTGCTTAAGCTAAAATTCAAGGGGGCTGATTTGCTAGACTGTTGCTTGACTGGAATCCTACCTTAGACCACAATACGTTGTGAATTCGTTATTGAAGAACAAAACTCATTTTCAGGAAAGACAGGCCCTGGCCAGCCCAGTGCTGTCTCGAGCAGTGGCAGCAGGAGAGGCTACGAAGGACAAGCAAGTTTCGCCACCCTTTACAGTTCATTCCCCTCCTGCTTCTCTCCGCACACCCAGAAGTGTTGCGTAGGGGTGGTAAGAGGATACATCCCTTGTCATCAACCTCCTGCCCAAGAGCTTCCCTAACCCCTTTCAGAGCATCTTACCTGCCTCCACAACACCCCGTGGCAACCAGCTCCGAAGTTCACTCTCTGCTACATGACGAAACACCTTCCCTGGAGGCGAGATCTGGTGAAGAGCCGTTCTGTGCTCACCTCAGCCCTCACCTGCTCTGGAGACTGAGCTGCTCGTGTCAGCTTTCCCCCCTTCAAGCCAGCCACAGCCTTCACCGGCTCGCCTCGTTAAACACTTCCTCCACTGCTTCCACAGCCTTTCCCCGCACGTTCTGTGGCATCGGAGACGCAGGGGCTAATTCAGAGGCACCACAAGGCTAAGTGTCATTGCGTTAAGACCTTTCTGCTTTTGTGCCCTTCTGCCGCAGACACGACGATTGCAGACGACTGCCAAGCATGCACCCAGCCGCGGCGTCAGCCCCAGGACAAAGCACTGCCAGGCCCGCCGCTGAATTACTGCTCCGTTCGTTACGCTGGCGCTGCGGAATAATTTCAGAGGCGCGTAATCACAGGAACGCGCGACAGCGCTGCTTCCCCCAGAGGACAGCATCACGCCTCAAGCAGCCGCTTCCACACGCGGCGCCCTAAACGAGCAGCCGAGAGCGACGAGCCGAGGCCGAGCAGCGGGCAGGGCTGCCCGCGCCCCGCCGCAGGCCCCCCGCGCGGGGGGCACAGACCTGCCCCGCGCCCAGCCTCGCGCGGGGCAAACACGGCCGGGCGGAGATCGCCGCCGCCGGTGCCGTCACACGCAGGGACAACACGGAAAGGCTCTGCAGCAGCGGGAAGCCCGCGGGCACGGCGCGCGCAAAGCCGCGCGGCAGCCAATCCGGCCTGGCAGAAACACGACCGGTTGTCAACAAGCCTTTCTTCCCCCTCTCTGAAGTCAAACGTTTCACGACATCAGGATGATCCTCTCACGCTGAGGAACTGCTGTTCCTTTCTCTCCCCAGGCAGCTGGTCAGACTGCCTCTCAGGACCAGACAGCAGCAATTCAAAGGCCCTTTAACTGCCATTTTATAGTGCTCTCGCCCAGCAAGCCAGGTTGGCATTTAGAGCTGAATACAACTTACCACTAGGAGAAAACTAAAACCAGAAACCAAACCTGACAGGAGCAGAGCAAAGCAAATAAAGCATTTCTAACAGGATCAGCTCGATCTTTGTTTCATCCCCCATTTTCAGCAGATTTACTAAATGCTTTTTTCTTTCTAAGAAAACACCCCTCGAGACCAGCTGTGTGCAGCTGGATCCCCCGGCCTGTGCAGCACAGCTCGCAGGCTACCCCGCGCGGTACAGGAGGTGCCCAGGCACCAGCCCCGCAGGAACGCAGAGGTGCTCAGGGCCGCCCCAGCAGCTGGATCCTCCGCTTCTGCCATCAGTGGGGTATTAACAGCTTTAGCCACATTTCAGATGTCTCCTTTTTATTTCACTCCTGAAGAATGAATTAGTGAATGAAGAAGTTACAG